CTCCGAAAATGAAAAAGCTGTTTTAGAAAGAAGAAGAAGGAAACGAAAGGCCAACAATGGCGATCAACGTCATCACCACACCTGGTCGTCTTTCTTCAGCCAAATCTCTAACCTTCGCTTCCACCATTAAAGCCTTCGTTACACCTTCTCTCCCTCACCTTCTCTCACCACCAAAACCACTAACATCTCTCAGATTTGCTTCCTCTCCGCCTCATCTTAACCTCTTTCGTTTCGCCGTCTCTCGCTTCCACGGTGGTCGAATTGTGACAATGGCTTCCTCTGCTCCTGGTTCGGTTAATAAACCTGAAGAAGAGTGGCGTGCGATTCTCTCTCCTGAACAATTTAGGATTCTCAGAGAGAAAGGCACTGAGTAAGGGATTTTCTTCAGGCGATTTTGTGATTCAATTTAGTGTTCTGTTTCAGGAATCAGGGTAGTGTTCGTTGATTTCCGATTGGATTAGTCACTTAGGTTTGGATTATGAATGTAGTGAATACCTTCTGGATTTCAAGTTTACTTAATGATTAGTGTAGCTCATGATGCAACGATATGTTGCTATATAGTGTGATTTGAGTCATTTGGGCATGGAATTGCCAGCTATATCTCTCTCTCATGAAAATTTGAGTTTTTTAAGCGTCTTGTGGAATTAATTTGTTACCTTTTGATCCCTAGATTAACAATTAGGAAACCCAATTTCTGATAGATTAGAGGGTTCAACAAAAATGTTTCAAAGTTTCCATTTTTTTTCTTTCCATGACATTGAAGCTCTGTTTCTGATGTAGTATCTTGTTGTCTCAGATGCTGTGAGGCCCTAGTTTTAGGTTGTCTCAGGGAGGGATTGCTCGGTGTGTCATAATTTGGTCTTTCTTGGTTCTTGAACATGAAAGCAAGAACCAAATGGAGATTAATTGGAATTTTCTCTGTTGTTTGAGTGATCGATAGTGTGAAGTAAGGTTTAGCGAAAGCAAACAGGATTCTATAACATCATTATTTTTGACGTAAATGTAGATATCCAGGAACAGGAGAATACAACAAACTGTTCGACGACGGAATCTATTGCTGTGCAGGATGTGGAACTCCTCTTTACAAATCCGCCACCAAATTCAACTCCGGTTGTGGCTGGCCAGCTTTCTTTGATGGAATCCCCGGTGCCATAAACCGAACAGTAAGATTCTCAATCAAGAGAATCATTGATCATGATTTGAGAAACTAATAATGATTTCTGAAAACATGTTCTTACAATTGTTTTACTCAGCCTGATCCAGATGGGAGAAGAATCGAGATCACGTGTGCAGCGTGTGGAGGACATCTCGGCCATGTTTTCAAAGGAGAAGGTTTCCCTACTCCTACCGATGAGCGACACTGCGTGAACAGTATCTCACTCAAGTTCACACCAGAGAATCCAACACTGTAATAATTGGGTGATCAGATCAAACATGTAATAATGTACTTATGGTTGTGTGATCATCTATGTTTCTCTCTCTCGTTACGTTGTTTTGTCTTTGGTCGGTGAAACTAGTGTTTAATTTCAACGGCTAGTAGCATAAGGTCGTTGAATAAAGTGTCGAGATTCTTACCGTCATATGAGGTTTTACCCGGAGTGGTAAAATTAGTGAAGTTTTATACTTTGTTTGTAGAGTATAACTTCTCCCATCAACCATTTCGAAACCGAATTACTCGAACCAGTTGGTATGGTTCTTTCGAAGCACAAAAACCATATCGACCATTTTACGGCTGGAAAAGAGCATGTGGACGGCTAAAGAACTCCTCCTAAAGGGTTTAGATAAAAACCCACAACAAGCAGTTACGGGTAGGAGAGTTCATCAACTCTTCGACGCTGTCATGGAATATTCAAAAATTACGGGTACACATGAACCCCAGTGATATACCCCTGATTCTAAGTTTAAGGCTGGCCCCACCTCTCAACTTAGTATGGATGACTAAATCGACTGTGAAATTGGGCTATGAGGTGGCACGATGGAGTTTGGACCTAGAAACACATTTCTCTTGACAACTGTCCTCATATAACCCACTCAAGGAGCACGCATGGAAGGTTCGCCATTTCAGGGGCTCTGGCTAGACCATCGACATCTACGTGTGGAACGTACCTGCTCTCGGTGCGATCATCAT